AGGGTGCACCACGTGGAGGTAAGTCTATCGCACACCCACCCAGTAGAGAGTATAAAACTTCGTAGGGAAAATAGTAAGGATCAAAGATGCGTTTTAAAACATTTTCATATTCAGAATGGACAGTTTCGGAAGGTTTGCTTCTTCAGGTCTCAGGGGACTCTTCTTTCGTCTGGCTCACCTCTTGTGGAAGGAAGGTGTTTGCTCAGATTTGCACTCTTTACCTTCCCCTCATTCAGATTTAAAATTACCGGCGATGATCTAAAGTTCTTGTCGTTATCCATACTGTCGATCTTCAGGTCGTCGTAGGGCTTTTTGTAGGATTTTGGAATGACATCAAGCCCGAGCTCAGGGAATTTTGGTGTGTTACCTTGAATAGATCTTATTCTTTCTTTCAGAAAAAGCATCGAACACAATGAAATTTTTAGAGATGTATTATATTATGCAAACCGGAGATTTTAAGTATTTTACTTCATCAACTTCGAATTTGCCATTGTTTATCGCAAAGTCGTGATCTTTTGCAGGTTCAATGATCTGCAGCGGTTGAGGCGCTTGTTGATCCAGAAGGGATGAATTCTCAAAGGGGTCACCAATTTGTTGATGACATGAACCAAAGTCACCTCTTTGTTGTGATTGCCAAATTACCTTAGAGATATAAGATTGTCACTGCGGTTTTATGTGCGAAAAGCCAGAGCATGCTGTTGATCGAATTCCTGAGAAGTGGGGGGGTGGGGGGGGGGGGGGGGGGTGCAAATTCGGACAAACTTTCATATCCACCAGAAACCATCATTTTTTACGAGACAATGAACTCTTTATTTATCACCCCCATTGACAATATTCACCACGAGTATATATTTGTGTTTATTGTACCATGATTCAAGGAATTTGCGCAATTTAGGTTTTATGCAATAAGTTGTATTAGCAGAGGCCAATAATGTTACCTAAAGGGCTAATGATAACTATCAAAACGCCTGCCTTTTGAAATGAATGAATGAATGTTTCCACACGTTTTGGAATCTTCATTAAAATCTGTTAGGGGTTATCATTATGTACCTAGAGTGCATTTTTTAATTTGACAGAGTGGCTTGTAAGCTTTCAGGTCCTTTAAAGTTAATTAAAAAATGTGTTTAGAGTGTGGTTGACAATAAGTGCCACCTCTACAACAAAATTTCGAAATATTTTTTAAGAGTAGGGGACCTGTGCAGTTCTTTTGCTAATGCATTGAAAGAAAAACCATATTGTGCATTATTAATTGGCGAACGGAACTTTAATAAGAAGGCATTAGTTTAATCACAAGGAAAATTCGCGAATGATGATTTCAAGTTTGTTATAAATTAATGCATCTTAAACGATCCCAGAAACTTCACAGACCTTCCCTCGCCTCCAATCACTTCTTTGACAATGCCAAACATCAATTATAGATTTGTTAATTCTTCTAGATTTAATTAATTGAAGCAGACGTTCGTATCCATGATACACTATGAATTTAGGTATATATATATATATATATCTACCAATATAATTGTTGTTGGGAGCAATATGTGACTTAAAGCGCCGTAGTTTTAGCAATCTTGAATTATACCTTTCTCAGGGTGTTGAATGTTATTCTTGAAACCTCAAGTGTGGGAGAAGAGAAACAACCGTATTACTGGATAAATGGAGAGTACCTTGAACAAATGGAATATGTCCATATCGTTGGTTGGGGGGGGGGGGTCACTTACGTAACTCGTCTCGCTAATTAAAAATAAGCCACTTGAGGGCTCGCAGCGGTGCCCTTTGACGAAATTTTTGGTGAACGTAATAGTCTTGTAATTCCAACAAGATCAAGTATCTCGATCACACTATGAGGTTGAGATATTTTCCTTCCAGCGAATAGAAACGTATTGGGGGAGTCATGCTTCAAGAACGTTGGATGATATCATTATCGATTTGTTTGTGGATTTGTGGGTTTGCACTTTGATGTATATATTTTCTGAATGCAGTAAGCACATTTCGACTCAACATCATAGGATGCACGACCGATGAACGAATGAGGCAATTGGTTAAGTGCCAGAGTGTTGCCTTTCCTTCATGAGCCCTGATCAATTAATACCTTTAGTGCCAGCTATCAATAGGTAAACGATGGCCTTACCTCCGATGTGGTCTTATGAAAGCTGACTTGTGCTCTGAGCTCAATGGCTTAGATTTCACTTTTAGTAATTGAAGGATGACGTATTCTTGAATACGTTAGCCACTAGTCCACTTTATTAATGCAAATTTAGTATATTCTGTTAGCGCGTACAAATATAATTTCAATTTCTCCCCCGTTTTTAATAATATTTTAGTGTCTCTGGATCCCTATGAAAGTCTGACTGAAGTTCAAGTTTTGGTCGTGCCAGAAAACCCCTCCGGAGAGGAGTCCCTGAATTTGGGACAATATGTCGCCAACTGGAGAAGGTAGGTTCCCGGGGAGAAATGTCCGTAAAGCGTCTAACCAATTCGGATTGAATAAGAAACTTACATGATCACGGGTCACTCATGGTAATAGCAACGAATAAGGCAATTGGTCTGTGTTGGTGCTATGCATGTGGAATTTGGGGTACTCGACAACATATCCATTCGAGACATCGAATTCCCCCTTTTTACCCAAATTGACTTAGCGCATTTGAACTTCCTTCCATGTCATTGATTGCTTGCTGATGATAATTGGTCTTAACTGTAACTAGTTAGACGTCCATGCGGACCAACGAGCCACATTATTTCTATTTTTGTCTAAGGTAATACTAGATAGTGCTTTCAATTTATTGTGTAGTTATTTATATCAAAAGTTAGGCGTTATGGTTGTTATCATTGGCCCTTTAGTTGACTTCAGGCTTCACAGAGAGGAGGAGGAACATCAAAGTGAAGAAAATTCGATTGGAGAGGGGGAGGGAAGAGAAGAGTAATTCACATATGTAAAAGAGACACCAAGACAGAGAAACGGTAAGGCGAGTCCTATGGAAATGGTCGAATATGACATACAGTGGGGGGTCATGGTAGTTTGAAGTCAGAAGTCAACAGCCAGTTAATAGACTCTTTTGCCGTGTGAGCATACGTTGCCCAGGATGCACCATGCGCAGGCAAGTCTATCGCATGCACCGCTTTAAATTCATTATTGGTGTGTACAATTTGAACTGCATTTTCATCAAGAGAATTTCATCTACATTTTGATAATTTTTTTCTCAATTTATGACAATGATTTTATTATTGAATGGTTAATTAGTAAAGTTAAACGAAAAAATATTCTTTATAAGAAAATTTGGCAAAAAATATCCATGAATACACCCAAAAGCCTACTATATACTTTGAAAAAGCTTCACTGGTGTTCAGTCAAAGAATGTGCATTTATTTTTGACGAGCTGAGTTATTCAACTACTATCCCGAAGATGCAAACATAACTCCCGAGGAAGTAGAACTGACTTACAGCACTTTAAGTCTTCATAAATCTCTAATAGTGTATTATGGAGTGACGTTTGTTTTAATATGGTGGAGGTAAAGTGAACTTAGGTCACCACGGGGATTGGCTAGGACCAATAGTACGCAGCTAACAATAGGCAATTACAGTTCTAAATCAAACAACGCACACATAGAGAGAGTTGAGTGGTGACCAGATTCAGGTGTATAATAGCGATTGAAATATGAATCGGTAGGGTAGAGCTAAGAGTGACTGGGAGAAAGTCGACAATTTCGAGGGAGATTGGGATTGCTGTACTAGCACGTGTTATGAATAGCTCAATTGACAAGTGGTCTCATGCAAATAATTGATCATTTCAAATGCTTATTCGGTATTCATGGAGGAAGAGAATTTCTCAAAGAAATGTGATTGTACAGTATCCAAAATATAGCGGGGAAGAATTTCGCGTAGATTGTTGGTGACATCATGAGACAAAATTGAAAGATGAAGTCAGGCGAAATGTTCATTTACTTGCTTAGGCTTGGCTCAGGCTTCCTTTACTATCACTTTGGTTTAAGCGCTAGCTTTGTTGAAAAGTAGAAAATTATTTTGCTTCATCATCCCAGATAATAGTTATTCTCTTGGTTCCTATCTATTTTTTCTCTACTTCATATCGATTATCCAATCATTGCTTTGTTGCTCGGCTTAAGTAACCCCCCCCTCTTTCTTTTGTTTTCAAGCAGTGAAAACATTTTCTCCCCCGCGTTTTTTTGAATAGTAATTGGACGATGTTAAGTGATATTCCGATCTTTCTTGCTGTTGTCGCTGCTGCTGCTGCAGTTTAAATATATCAGATTGAAATGTGTTGCGTGTGTGTATTTAAAAGTGGTGAAATCTGTAGAATGGTTGAAGTTTTTGTGAGAAAGTGGCATTTCATTAAAATGCATTTCCGCCTTCCCTTTGTATTTTCAATTTCAGTTTGGAAAATAGGAGCTCTTGCAAAACTATTACCATACTACTCTTCCAAACTACTTTCTTTTGTGTCATTCTGTGCATACAATTTGGTTAGTCTAAGTTGGTGTGTTATTTCTACTGTTAATGATTGGGGCGGGTGGGGGGGGGGGGGGGGGGGGG